AAGAGGAGGAGGAGGAGGAGGAGGAGCAGGAGAAAGAGGAGGAGGAGGAGGAGGCAGGCTGAGGCTGAGGCTGTGACTGCGACTGCCGTTGCCGCTGCGACTGTCATCGCGAATGCGACTACGACTGCGAGAACAGCAGAATTCGACAACTGGATTTTCATCTGAATCTTAAGGGGAATGCTTTCAGATATGCTTCTACACATCGCTGTTAGGTTGCTTTGCCGGGATAATTTTTTTTTGCGTCTGGAGGCCCTCTTGGGGCGCATCGTGGATGCCTCTTGGGGCGTCTTGGGGGCCTCTTGAGCCGTTTGGAGGCCGTCGTCAGCGTTTTTGATCGCCCTTGGACCGTCGAGGACCATGTGGAGCTCTCTTCGAGGCCACTCGGACCGCTCCTGGAGCGCTCTCGTGGCCGTTTTCGGAGCCCTTCTGGGCCGTCTTGGACGTCAGTTGGCCCGTCTTGGGGCCCTCGAGGGCGATGTGCACGGACCCTCTTGGAGGCGTCTTGGACCGTCTGGGAGCGGGTTTGGGTGGCTCTGGGGCCGTGCAGGAGCGGGGGACACCCCCAAAGGCGCACGTGTGAACAAATATACGTTTTACGAAGGAAACGAGCGATGTTTTGCGTCTAGAGGGCCTCTTGGGGGGAATCTTGGATGCCTGTGGGGGCGTCTGGGGAGGCCTCGTGAGCCGTCGGGAGGTCGTCGTCGCTGTTTCTGATCGCTCTTGGACCGTCTGGGACCATGTGGAGCTTCGCGGAGGCAACTCGGAGCGCTCCTGGAACGCTCTTGGGGCCGTTTTCGGAGCCCTCTTGGGCCGTCTTGGACGCCTGTTGGCCCATCTTGGGCCCTCTAGGGGTCTGTGGGGGACCCTCTGCGAGGCTTCTGGGGCCGTCTGGGAGCGCGCCTCTTGGGCCGTCGGGGAGCATCGGAAAGATCCAAAGCTGAATTTCTAAAAAATGTACATTTCACGAAGGGAATGGCCCAATTTTTGCGTCTAGGGACCCTTGTGGAACGCATCTGGGAGGCCCTCGGGGGGGCTCGTGGGGACCTCTTCTGCCGTCGAGGACGCCTCGTGGCCCGTCTTCGGGCCAACTTGGACGTCTTGGAGCGTTCGTGGGGCGTCCCAAACCCATTTCGAGGCCACCAGACGCGTCCCTACACGATTTTCACGTATTTTTCCACGATTTTCGGGAGCGGATGAGACCTCCGGGCCGCCTGGGGCCGTCCGGCCGGACCCCCCCCCCCTCCAAATGGACCGGACCGGGCTCCCGGGGGAGGGGTTTGGGAAGGGGGAACATCTCACACGCCGATGAACCCCAAGGGGTCGGCGGATTTCCTTACGTCTCCAGCCCCCCCTGGGCCGCTCACATGCCGCCCGTCATGATTTGCACCCCTCCCTCTGGGACGCCCCCCTCTTGGCCGCCCCCGAGAGAAGGCTCAGAGCACTTCTCAGAAGGCCGGGAGACTTCCGAGCCTTCTCAGAAGGCCCGCCCCTCGTGGCCGCCGACTGGGGAAGTGGTCCAGGCCTCCTGGAGGTCGATGTGCCCAGACTCCCGACGTCATGATCTTGTCAGAACGTCGACCCCCGGAGGTCTCGACCCACTCCCCGGGACCGGTGTGTTCCTCCCGAGGCGTTCTCTGGCGGTCCCGCGGCCAGGCGAGGGCCCCCCCCAGAGGCCGAGAGCAGCGAGGCCGAGAGCCGTTGTCTCACGGCCGTTGTCTCACGTTGCCCTCTGCCGATATTTTTTCATCCGGAGACTTTTTTTGACGGTCCCTGGGCCCGCCGAGGGCCTCCAAAGGCCGAAGCTGGCGAAAAACCTTCGCCTTGACTTTTGTCAATGCTTGGGATCTCTGGGAACATCGACCCCCTGGAGATATCGACCCATTCCCCGGGACCAGTTTCTCGTCCGGAGTCGTTCTTTGATGGTCCCGAGGCCCTGTGAGGGCCCCCAGAGGCCGAACACATCAACGAGAAGCCTCCCGTCCTCCGTTTTTCGTGGCGCGAGGGGCGAGGGGCTCTGGGTGTGGCAGTGGCGGCGGAACACCGGCCCCTCGATGGGCGGGCGAGGCTGAAGCTCGGGCGAAGTACGTGCGCTGGCCACGCCGCTCGTGAAACGATGAGTGCTACAAGATGGGCATACTACACGTGTTTGGGTCAGACGCGCGCCTCCAAGGAGGACATTTGGCACCAGTATGTCTCTGTGCGTCCCATGGGAGGTCGTGTCGAAGCATCGTCTGGGGAACCTCATCCTGGGTCCGTTTCGCACGGTCCCAAGGCCCGAAAGCGGACCCCAGAGGCCAGAAACGACGATTCGTTGGGGCAGTTCTTCATCCCAGGTCCGTTTCGGACAGTCCACGGGGCCCGAACGCGGACCCCCGAAGCCAGAAGAACGACGAACAACGGCGAAAGCAAAGGCGAAAACAGGGAGAAACACCGTGGGCAGGCGAAGGAGGAGGAGGAGGAGGAGGAGGAGGAGGAGGAGGAGGAGGAGGAGGAGGAGGAGGAGGAGGAGGAGGAGGAGGAGGAGGAGGAGGAGGAGGAGGAGGAGGGAGGAGGAGGGCGTGGGCAGGCGAAGCTGAAGCTCCTGGCCAAGGGCCCGGTCTTCCCCGCCCCCGCCTCGGGCCTGCTGGACGGCGCGGCCCGCGTGCCGCTGGCGCGCTGCGCGGCGCGCGGGCGGGAGGACCCCTCTGCCGAGGGCCAGGAGGATCCGAGGAGGGAAGGGTAACCTCTCGCTCCGAGGGGGATCGGAGGAGGAGAGGGCCCAGGCCCCCTCGCGCTGTGAGAACATCATGCTGTGAGTTTATTATATTTTTTCTTCCCCCTCACAAGTTTCGTGGCCCCATAGGGAGCTCCACCGAAACCGGTACGCACAATGCGGTACTCGCAACTGCACATGGTTGGGTCCTTCGTCAGGCTAATTCCCAACCATCCTGTGGTGTTGGGTCCTCGTTTTGAAGAGACAGCGCCCCGCGTTCACTCCTCCTCCCGCTGCCCCCTCCCTCCTCCCTCCTCCCCCTCCTTGCCTCTGCTCTCGGCACACCTCTCGCACGTTTCGTAGCCCCATAGGGAGCTCCACCGAAGGTCCCAGTGAGGGGGGGCGCATGCGGTTCCCACACCCAGGACAGCGTTTCGTGGCCCCATAGGGAGCTCCACCGAGGGTCCCAGTGAGGGGGGGCGCATGCGGTTCCCACACCCAGGGCAGCGTTTCGTGGCCCCATAGGGAACCCCACCGAAGGTCCCAGTGAGGGGGTCGCATGCGGTTCCCGCACCCAGGGCAGCGTTTCGTGGCCCCATAAGGAGTTCCACCGAAGGTCCCAGTGAGGGGGGGCGCATGCGGTTCCCACACCCAGGGCAGTGTTTCGTGGCCCCATAGGGAGCTCCACCGAAGGTCCCGGTGAGGGGGGGCGCATGCGGTTCCCACACACAGGGCAGCGTTTCGTGGCCCCATAGGGAGCTCCACCGAAGGTCCCAGTGATTTCGCGGCCCCATAGGGAGCTCCACCGAAGGTCCCAGTGAGGGGGGGCGCATGCGGTTCCCACACCCAGGGCAGCGTTTCGTGGCCCCATAGGGAGATCCACCGAAGGCCCCAGTGGGGGTGTTCGCATGCGTCTCCCCTGCCCAGGACAGCGCTTCGTGGCCCCATAGGGAGCTCCACCGAAGGCCTCAATCGGGGTGTTCGCATGCGTCTTTTGCACCCAGGACAACGTTTCGTGGCCCCATGGGGAGCTCCACCGAAGGCGCCAGAGGCGCAGTTCGCATGCGTCTCCCCCACCCATGACAGCGCTTTGTGGCCCCATAAGGAGCTCCAGCGAAGGTCCCAATGGCGCAGTTCGCATGCGTTTCCCTCGCCCAGGGCAGTGTTTCGTGGCCCCACAGGGAGCTACACCGAAGGCCCCAGTGGCGGTGTCCACATGCGTCCGCGCCACCAATTTCGGCGCACCCCTCACAAATTTCGTGGCCCCATAGGAGCTCCACCGAAACCGGTACCCACAATGCGGTACTCGCAACTGCACATGGTTGGGTCCTTCGTCAGTTTTTTTTTTTTTTTTTTTTTTTTTTGTTCCCCCCCCCCCCCCTATTTTCGGTCTCTCGGTGCCCTCACCGGGCCTCGGGACCGTCAAAACACGACTCGGGATGAAAAACCGGTCCCGTCAGAGAAGCGGTCCAGACTTTGGGGGACGACGTCATGAAAAAATCATGGCGTCGGGGGTCTGGGGGTACCCATACCTCTACTCTTCCCCTCGTTCTCCCCTTTTTGGGCCTCCTTGGAGTCCCTCGTCACAAACGCCGGATTCGTCTCGAAGTTCTGGTCAGAACGCTCTCAGGGAGTGAAAGGTCCGGGGAGTTGCGGCATCGGTACCCTTTTGGTTTCCTCCGAGGAGACCAAGTCGCTGGTGGACGCGAGGTGGGCGACGCAGACTTGGACATGACCGCTGCCCTCTGCCTCGTCTCTTGTCGGGCCTCCCCTCCTCGTGCCTGCTCCTCCTCCTCCTCCTCCTCCTTCGCGCTTCTCCTCGCTTCTCCGCCGCGCTTCTCCTCGCTCTTCTTCCGCTCCTCCTCATCCTCCTCTTCCTCCTCCTCCTCCTCCTCCTTTTCCTTCTCCTCCTCCTCCTCATCCTCATCCTCATCCTCATCCTCATCCTCCTTCTCCTCCTTCGACTGCTTGGACATTCGCGCGTAAGCTGCCCGCGTGAGGCTGCGCGATGTAGCGTGCCGCGTTGGCGGCCCGCGCAAGCCGCGCCTCGACGTCGCTATGCCATCGTGCGTAAGACCCGTTTCTTCCCGTCGCTCAGGTGGCTGGTGGATGTGCGGGCGCCCGACTGGCCGCTGTCGGACGTGGTGGAGGACTGGAGCTGGCTGGGGGGCCCGAGGTCCCAGAGCTCCTGGCGGCGGAGGAGGAGGAGGACATTGAGGTAGAGGAGGAGGAGGAGGAGGAGGAGGAGGAGGAGGAGGAGGAGGAGGAGGAGGAGGAGGAGGAGGAGGAGGACATTGAGGAGGAGGAGGAGGCTCCGAGCAGAGGACATCATCTCTCTCGTCGCGGTCCCCACGAAGGCCACGGCGCTGTCGGCCACGGAGTTCCTCAAGTGGTGCTGCGACACGGAGCCAGAGTCCGACGGCGTGGGCGGTGTCCGGGACGCCTTCACGCAGGCCCTGTCGCTCGTGCTGCAGGAGTCCAAGAAGGCAGCGGTCCTTTCGCCCCGATCGATCCGCTTCGACATCGACCTCGGCGGGGCCCCTCCGATGCGACGTCGGTATTCCGACGATCTTCGAGCAGGGTACCGACTACATGATTGATTCACCCCGAGATTGATTCTCGGCCGAAACTGCGATAGGTAAGTAGACTGTTCCGTTGATCGACGGGGCATGCTCGCCGAGGCTGTTTTGGACGCTCCGACACCTCGGGACCCCCCCCCGTCCAGGTCCAGCGGAAGGGATAGGGCGAGGGGTAAACCCCTCCCCGAAGGGGAAGGAGGGGTGGAAGAGGGAACCCTCTAAACCACTGGCGCCCAGAGGGCTGGTGGGATTCTGTGGTCGACCCGCTGCTCGAGATCTGGTGCGGCCCGATGCTTGTACGGCGCTGCTGTGCATCCTGGCGCCCCTGAGATCCGACGCCGCGGACAGTTTGCAACCTCGCGGGAAAGTCACGACCTGAGCCCGCCTGGCCCGCAACAGCGCAGCGCCCGGATCCCAGGTTGAGTCGGGCCTGTCCCTCCACAGGAGGAATGTTCAACAATGATCCCACTAGCCCTCTGGGCGTCGGTGGTTTAGAGAGTTTCCTCTTCCACCCCTCCTTTTTCCCTTTCGGGGAAGGGTCCATCACTGTTCCCTATCAATATACACCCCCTCCCCCAGGCGACTGGGAGCCAACCAGGATCAATGTAGGCCCCCCCACAATCCCTGGTAAAAAACAATGCGGAACACACTCTGCCTCCAAATTCGGAGCATGCGCAGCGAACCCGATGCGGCCTCCCCCCACCATCCCTGTCAAAAAACAATACAGAGTGCACTTGGCGGCGGCGGCTGCGGCGGCTGCGGCGGGGGTAGCGGCTGCGGCGGCTGCGGCGGTGGCGGCGGCGGTGGCGGCGGCGGCGGCGATTCGGCAGCGGGGGCGACGGCGGCGGCGGCGGCGGCAGCGGCGGCGGCGGCGGTTGCGGACGGCGGCGGCGGGCGGCGGCGGCGGCGGCGGCGGAGGCGGCGGCGGCGGCAGATTCGCCCCAGTAGCTGGCCATCCAAAGACGACTGCTGAATATGTTGCGGCTCGGGCCAGGCTCGGGTGCGGTTGGGAGTGAGCGACACGGCTTGCGGGCGCGGAGGGAGTCTTGACCCCTCCCCCTACCCCCTGGACAAGGGGGTTTCGCGAGGTGTCAGGGCGTCCAAAACGGCCTCGGCGATGAAACCAAACTCATTGATTCTACTAGGGTTTTGGCCCCATTTGGGCCTCCAGGGGGGGCGACTGTAATTCGTACCCCCCCTCCTGTGATCGATCTCCTCCAAGATGGTCCCAAGAAGCGTCCAGGAGGCCCCAAGAGGTCCCAAGATGGCCCCAAGAAGGCCCCAAGAGGCCCCCAAGAGGCCCCCAGGCCCCCCAGAGACCCCCAACAGGCCCCAAGAGACCCCCCAGGGGCACCCAAGATGCTCCAAGAGGCCTCGGCGAGAAGGCCAAATCATTGATTTTACGAAGGTTTTAGCCACATGTTGGCCTCTTGAAGGGGGGCACTGATTAAGATGACTCCAAGAGCGCCTGGGAGAGCCCACGATGACCTCCAAGATGGCTCAATCTATCCCAAGATGTCTCATCATGGCTTCCTCTGTGTGCTGCCCACTTGCCTCATCGAGGCAATTCCTCTGGGGATCGTTTCTGGATGGGCTGGTGGGGATTCGCGAAGCGTCAACAATGAACAACTCGTCAGGGGACGATTTTTGGAGTATCTTTCTGACAAGTGAAAAATATTGTTTGAGTATCTTGGATTTTTCGTTCAACATCAGCATTGAGGTGAACATGCCCGACCTAAATCTCAGGGGTGGCCGATCCGATCCGATAGCCCACGACGTGCCGATGCGGCCCGCTCCCGCGCGCGGTCCGGTGCGGCCCGATGCGGCCCGATCCGATGCTGGGCGGTGCTGCGAGGTCAAGGGTCGCACGCCCGCGGCGGAGCTCAAGCGGCTCCTGCCGTGGCTGAAGCTCTTCTGCAGGGAGGGCCCCGGCATGGGCAAGGACCGCTTCCCCGCGCGCTGGCTTCCCGCTTGGCAGCCGGGCGCCGACGGGGTCCGGCCCATGCTGAACGACGACCCCATCAAGGCAGGGCCCAGTTCGATGCGACCGGTCCGACTCGACCCAGGGATCCAACGTCGTGACAAGGTCAAGACAGCGATTTTTTTCGCTTTTGCAGCTCTTTGGAGGCCCTCGCCAGGCCCCAGGACCGTCAGCAAACACGACGCAGGATGAAGAACCAGTCTCGGGGAGTGGGTTGACATCTTCGGAGGCCTCCAAACAACAATTACACCACCACCACCACCCCTGGCCAGGCATATCGTGGGCCCTGCACTGGTGTACAGGCCTTCCTGGCCTAGGGATCCAGGGCCCAGAAAGTGCCTGGCCAGGGCTGGTGGCGGTGTATTGTTGACGTCCCTCCGACTTCTGGGGACCCCGTATTGAAAACATCAAGACATCGGGTCTCGGGGTTCTGATAGATCCGATTCGATGTCGCTTCGGGTTCATCCAGTCCGATTCGATTCCGATGTTCCGATCATCCGATGTGGCCCGACGCTTGAGTAGTGCTGTTCTGCATCCTGGCGCACCCGACCCCATCTGATTTCGATTCCGTGCCGATGCAGCCTGGATTCGACGTCCATTCCGACTCGATCCGACGTCCGATTCGATGTTGACGGATCTGCATCGAGGCGGCCATGCTCACGCCGGCGCAGGGGTTCCAGCTCCTGGGCGTCCTCGACCACCCGGAGACGCATGATGATGGTGATGATGATGATGCTGATGATGTTGATGATGCTGATGATGATGAAGATGTTGATGGTGATGGTGATGGTGATGGTGGCGATGATGATGATGATGCCGATGATGATGATGATGATGATGATGATGATGATAATGATGATGATGCTGATGATGATGATGATGATGATGATGATGCTGATGATGATGATGATGATGATGATGATCACGAGGATGATAATGAGGATGAGGATGATGATGATGGTGGCGATGATGTTGCCGATGATGATGGTGATGCTGATGATGGTGGTGGTGATGATGGTGATGCTGCTGATGATGCTGATGATGATCATGATGATGGTGGTGGTGATGATGATGATGCTGCTGATGATGCTGATGATGATGCTGATGATGATGATGATGATGATGCTGATGATGGTGATGGTGATGATGATGATGATGATGATGATGATGATGATGATGATGATGATGATTGATGATGTTGGTGATGATGATGATGATGATGATGATGATGATGCTGATGATGCTGATGATGATGATGATGATGATGATGATGATGATGATGATGGTGATGGTGATGATGATGATGATGATGATGATGATGATGATGATGATGATGATGATGATGATGATGATGATTGATGATGTTGGTGATGATGATGATGATGATGATGATGATGATGATGATGATGATGATGATGATGATGATGATGATGATGATGGCAAAAGGTCTGCACAGGGGCACAGATTTCGTCGGAGGTCCGCGCGGGGATTTTCCGGGACGTCGGCGCCGGAGTGAGCGAGGGAGCCACGCGAGCACACGCCTGTTGGCTGCTCTGGGCCCTGCGGAGGGCATGGGGGAGCAATCAGTATGCCAGCCAGACAACACATGCGTGAAGCATGAAGAGAATATGGAATTGTGATCTTTTTCTATTCTTTGTTCTGCCGATGGGCGCGGGCCCTCCCACCCCCCCCACCTCCCCGCTGGTTTTGGCGCCAGTTTCGAGGTTGCAAACAGTCGCACTCAGCAGAGGATCGGAGCCAGACCCCCTCCCCTCCCCCCCCCCCGTCCGCCCAATGTCGAGACGCCGAACAATAAAACGCTTACATATGGAATTGGGGAGAGCAGAAACACGGAGGCATCAACAGAGAATCTGTGCAGCATGCCAGAAGCATGAACACGACAGAAAAAAAAGAGATTTGGCGGGATGTCTTGTTTTAGGTCGGGCCTGTCCCTCTACAGGGGGAATATTCAAAAATAGGCAAACAAACTAATCTGGGGGCGATTTTTCGAGCATTTTGTTGGCTATTCTTGGGGGGCATTTTTTGAGTATTTTTATTTGTTCTACCAAGCTCCCCCCGTATGGGGGACACGCCCGACCATACGTCTGGCTGTAGTTGTTTCGGGCCTCCGACGGGGCCCTCGCCGGGGGCGCCTGGAGCCTCCCGGGATGGGCCTGGGAGGAGGAGCTGGCCCGCGGGAACGCCGACGCTCCCCAGGACGGGTGCTAGCCTCAAGTCGGGCCTGTCCCTTTGCAGGAGGACCAGTCAAAAATAGTAAAATTAGTCTGGGGACGGTTTTGTTGTTGTTGTTGTTGTTGTTGAACATTATTAATTCTAAAGAATAATTATTGTTGGGGCCCCTGGTGCACGGCCCCCCTGCGCCGCCTAGGCCGCAGCTACATTTTCATCATTTTCGTGAGGAAGCCTCAGGTAATACGATGTCATCAAGATCCGGTTGTTTTGTTGTAATCCGTTTTCCCTTGCAAAAAACACTATAAAATGACATTTCTTGTTCTAATATAATCAAATTTCAAGAATCCCTTGCAAAAAATAAGGTAAAGTGGACATTCGCGCGCGCAAGACGAAATCCTTCCAAAAGCTTAGTGTTCGGAACGATTTTAACATAAAAACATCAAAAAACCAATGGTTTTTCAACAAAAAAATGTCAAAATCTCATCCCGCGCGCTCTTGCGGATTCGTAGGAAAACCAACACTTTTTAAACATTTCTGTCAACGGGCTTTTGCGAGCAACTTTTTCGAACTTCTGCGACAACGGTTGCGCACCTGCCAGGGCCATCATCCCTGTCAAATAATACCATGCGGGACACATTCGTTTTTTCTTCGCGCGCGCACGCCGAAATCTCCAAAAACCATTGGGTTCTTAAGAATTTTAGCACCGCGCATCATAAAATCACACGAATCGCACCGTAGGTCCTCGAAAAACACCTGCACGACTTTTCAAAATTTCTACCCGCGCGCGCTGTCCGAATCCTAAAAAAACCAATGGTTTTCCAACATTTATGTTACATGAGCTCGCGCGAGCTACTTTCGCACGCTCTTGCAACGGGGTTCGCGCGCCTGCCAGGGGCCAGAATCCCTTGCGGTTGCGCCATAGGTTGCGCCCTCGGCGCCAGTGTAGTAGCCAAGGTCGTCCGCAGGCCACGAAGTGAAGTGTCCGAACGTCATAGGGCGGGAAGCTGGGTGTGGGTGGTGGCGAAGAGTCGTTTGGAAATTTGGTAGAGCTTGAACCGGCCCCCCCACAAAGTGGGGGTATTGCCCGCCTCCTATGAAAACCCTGGCACTGGTGAGAACGGAGTGTCCCCACGTGCTAGTAATTGTTGAACATTATTATTCTAAAGAATAATTATTGTTGGGCCCCCTGGTGCACGCCCCCCCCGCCCGCCTAGGCCGCAGCTACATTTTCATCATTTTCGTGAGGAAGCCTCAGGTAAAACGATGTGATCCAGATCCGGTTGTTTTGTTCCCCCCCGCTTTCCCTTGCAAAAAACACTATAAAATGACATTTCTTGTTCTAATATAATCAAATTTCAAGAATCCCTTGCAAAAAATAAGGTAAAGTGGACATTCGCGCGCGCAAGACGAAATCCTTCCAAAAGCTTAGTGTTCGGAGCGATTTTAACATAAAAACATCAAAAAACCAATGGTTTTTCAACAAAAAAATGTCAAAATCTCATCCCGCGCGCTCTTGCGGATTCGTAGGAAACCCAACACTTTTTAAACATTTCTGTCAAACGGGCTTTTGCGAGCAACTTTTTCGAACTTCTGCGACAACGGTTGCGCACCTGCCAGGGCCATCATCCCTGTCAAATAATACCATGCGGGACACATTCGTTTTTTCTTCGCGCGCGCACGCCGTCTCTGTCTCTCTCTGTCTCTCTCTCTGTCTGCTCTCTGTCTCTCTCTCTGTCTCTCTGTATTATGTATGGTATGGCACAATTGCACCATGCTGGGCACATGCGCGCCCCGAATAAGTGACCAAGTTCTGTGGGTGTGTACCCCACGCCAGTGTAGTAGCCACGGTCGTCCGCACGCCACGAAGTGAAGTGTCCCAACGTCATAGGGCGGGAAGCTGGGTTTGGGTGGTCGCGAAGAGTCGTTTGGATATTTGGTAGAGCTTGTAATGCCCCCCCACGAAGTGGGGGTATTGCCTGGTGTCGTATGAAAACCCTGGCACTGGGGAGAACACCACGCGTTCGGGTAAAATGATTGTTGTTGTTGTTGTTGTTGTTGTTGTTGTTGAATATTATTACTTCTAAAGAATAATTATTGTTGGGCCCCCTGGTGCACGCCCCCCCCGCCGCGCCTAGGCCGCAGCCACGTTTTCATCATTTTCGTGAGGAAGCCTCAGGTAAAACGATGTGATCCAGATCCGGTTGTTTTGTTGTAATCCGTTTTCCCTTGCAAAAAACACTATAAAATGACATTTCTTGTTCTAATATAATCAAATTTCAAGAATCCCTTGCAAAAAATAAGGTAAAGTGGACATTCGCGCGCGCAAGACGAAATCCTTCCAAAAGCTTAGTGTTCGGAGCGATTTTAACATAAAAACATCAAACAACCAATGGTTTTTCAACAAAAAAATGTCAAAATCTCATCCCGCGCGCTCTTGCGGATTCGTAGGAAACCCAACACTTTTTAAACATTTCTGTCAAACGGGCTTTTGCGAGCAACTTTTTCGAACTTCTGCGACAACGGTTGCGCACCTGCCAGGGTCATCATCCCTGTCAAATAATACCATGTGGGACACATTCGTTTTTTCTTCGCGCGCGCACGCCGACATCTCCAAAAACCATTGGGTTTCGTAGGAATTTTAGCACCGCGCAACATAAACTCATACGAATCGCACCGTGGGACCTCGAAAATCGTCGTCGGCATGTTACCACAACAAGTCCGTGTGTCACCACGTCATCGAACAAAATCACTGATCACTGTCACATCCGTAGCCATCTCGGATGCTGGCGCCACGCACGTGGTATGCTGGCGCCACGCACGTGGTACCACTCAAAATAATCTTTGCTTGTGTGGTACAGAAACGGAAAAACGTCGGAAAACGGTACAGGTGTCCAGTGTTGGAACAGGGGGATAAGTCGTATACTAAGCTAGCTTCCACAAAATGTTACCACAACAAGTCATTGTACCCATGCGCCAGTGTAGTAGCCAAGGTCGTCCGCAGGCCACGAAGTGAAGTGTCCGAACGTCATAGGGCGGGAAGCTGGGTGTGGGTGGTGGCGAAGAGTCGTCCTAAACTTGGTAGAGCTTGAACCGGCCCCCCCACAAAGTGGGGGTATTGCCCGCCTCCTATGAAAACCCTGGCACTGGTGAGAACGGAGTGTCCCCAGTCTTAAATGATTGTTGTTGTTGTTGTTGGCCATTTTTGAGTGTTAGTGTTTTTTGTTTTGTTTTGTTTTTCTCTCCAAATCCGCCTGTAGGGGGACACGCCTGACCTAATGTTAGCCCAAGGTGTTCACCCCGCTCGTGGAACTCACTGCCCACCAGACCACCCCAGCCCAACCCGAAGGCCCCGATGGGCCCTCGGTCGGGGAGCATCGAAGAAACACACATGAAGCCCGTACCCCCCGCTAGCCCGAAACTCGGCTCTTCGGGTTGGGTTCGGGTGGGGTGGTAGGTCGTCAGGAGCGGTCTCGATGGACCAACATGCGTTGGCGTTGGCACGTGGTGCGAGGATCCTCGAGAAGAGGTTCAGACATCTCGGGTTCCACCGCCACCACCACCACAGAGCCAAGCGCCCGGAAGGGCGCGTGGGCAGAAGAGCGCGCAAGCGACAACCCTTCGGTACGACTGCCGAAAGAGGCACGGCAACCAGAGAGCCCCACGACTGCGAAGCAGAAGAAGGAGCGCCCGACTGTAAGACGAGGAGAAGGGGGAGGAACAGGGAGAGGAAGAGGAGGAGGAGAAGGAGGGGAAGGATGAGGAGGAGGAGGAGGAGGAGGAGGAAGAGGAGGAGGAAGACGAGAAGAAGGAGGAGGACGAGAAGAAGGAGGAGGAGGAAGCGGAAGAGGAAGACGAGAAGGAGGAGGAGAAAGAGGAAGAGGAGGACGAGAAGAAAGAGAAGGAGCAAGAGGAAGAGGAGAACCAACTCATGGTGGTGGGGGCCGGGGGGCGCCCCCCTCCCCTGGCGCGCGCAGTGCGCGAGGGGGACTGCGCCAGAGGCGCCGCCGAGGGGGATCCAGCGCCGACCCAAGGGCCCCCGGGCTGGGAACGCCGCGCGGAGCCCCGAGAGATGGGATGCTTCTGCTGACTGTTCGTCCTCGGCCCCACGTTGCCCTCTCCTGATCCTCACCCTGATCCTCCTCCTCCTCCTCCTCCTCCTCCTCCTCCTCCTCTTCCTCCTCCTCCCTCCTGTTGATCCGCCAAGGGTGACCCCGCGCGGACTTTCGAACGCTCAGGCTTGCGTTTCCCTCGGGGGCGGAAAGCATGTCCGTGAGCCCACGGCCTCGCCGGTCAGGCACCTGGGCCGCTGCCCCGTGGGTGAACGGGGCGCTTTTGTCGCGGCTGCCCCCCCGCGCGGAGTAGATCTCCCTGCGACTGCGCATCTGCCACAGGGTCGCGCCCCAGAAGCCAGACCGCGAGGGCGCGGAGGGCGCGGATGTGGGTACCTTTGCCTTCGATGCTCGTGTTGGGGACCTTCCTGGGGCACACCTAGAAAGGATCTGTTCGACTCCAGTTCGACTTCAGTTCGACTCCAGTTCGACTCAAGTTCGACTCAGGTTCGACTCAGGTTCGACTCAGGTTCGACTCAGGTTCCGACTCGAGTCGACGGACGTTCGACGCAGCTTCGACGCACGAGCGGAGCGATTGGCTCCAAAAAGGTCCCCAGAATGAGCATCTAATTTGCCGCTTGTGCGCTCCCCCAGGAGAGCCGCTTTCCGTCGCTGGCGCGCCTCGAGAAGCGAGACGCGGAGCTGCTCGCGGCGCTCGCGGTGGCGAAGATGAGCGGCTCGCAGCTGGAGCTGCGGACCAACGTCGTCGGCGCGCCCCGGGCCGACGCCGCCGCGTCTGACAGGCTGCCGGGAGCCCCCCAAAACGGTGCGGTGACCACATCGCGCGGTGAGCAAACGGGCGCGGTGACCACGCCGCGGGCGGACTTCAGGAGCGAGGGCGGAGACGGTCGAGGTCGTCGGACGTTCGAGCTTCGAGGTTTTCGGGCGTTTTCGTGGGTTCGCGGAGGCTCTCCAGCCTCGGGATGCTTTCCAGCAGCCGCGCCCCGCCGAGAGCGTTTTTTGGGGTGCCCGAGTTGCTCCAAACGGTCGCCGGAGACTCGAGTATGGTATGACCCAGAAGCCAGACAGCCTCGCGTCGTCAACACAAAGCACGACGGAGCATTTTTGGCTGTTCTCGGCTTCTGGGAGGCCCCTGTCTACCAGACCCCAGGACTGCCAAGACAGGACTCAGGACGCAAAGCTGGTGCATGAGACGGTGTCCAGACCTCCGGGTAGCCACGCTGTATGCCAAGACGCCAGGCATCTTGGCTGTTGCGTCAGCGGGGATGTTCTGGGCCTCCTGGATGGGGTCCGAGTAGATGGGGTCGGAGGATCGCGTTGTATCGCGCCGGATCGCCGATGCATCGGCGATGCGGCTGGATGTGGAGCCCGTGTTTCCCCGTGCCGACGTCGCCGATGCATCGCCGATGCATCCTCGATGCATCGCCGAGGCACCCTCGATGCGTCGCCGATGCATCGGCGGTGCGGCGCGATCCTCCGACCCCATCTGCTCGGACCCCAACTATCACCGCCCACCAGGCCACCCCAACCCAACCCGAAGGCCCCGATTTGCCCTCCAGTTCCAGTGGGGGGGGGGTCGGGGAATGACGTCGCGAGGGCCGCGCGGTCTTTTGGGCCTCGGGGGCCGCCCCTCTCCGAGATGACGTCCCTCGGGCGGACCCCCCACCGGGGGGGGGGGGCCTCCCCGAGGAGTCCCCGAGAGACCGCGGCGTGGAGGCGGAGGCGGGCCGTGCGGTGGTGAGGTCCCTCGCCCGCGGGGGGCTGCCGCCGCACGGCTCCGTCCGTCCGTCCGGCGGGGCCACGGCGACGGCGTCGTGCTCGGCGTCGCCGTCGTCGGCGTCGGCGTCGTGCTTGTCGCCGTCGTCCGCGTCGGCGTCGGCGGCCTCGGCGGCCCGCACCGCAGAAGGCTGATGATGGTGCTGAAGCTGCTCTGGCGAGCCGCCGGCCTCGAGTTCAACTTCCAGGGCGCGCTGCGGCTGAACAAGTGCGAGCGCATCACGCGCCAGCTCGCCCTGACCGGCTCCAGCGACAACGAGGTGGACGCCTTCGCAGTGTGGGGCGACGCGGAGCGAGAGGCCCGCGTGGGAGCCGGCGGGGGGTCCGAGGTGGCCCAGCATCGGTTCTCGCCGGCACGAAGGGGAGGCGAGGTCCGAGGTTCGGGGTGCGACAAGGTTTTTGCTCTGTCGATCTCCAGGGGCCCTTTTTCGGAGCCCGGGGACCGTCAAGAACGGATCTCGAGTGAAAAACTGACCCCAGGAGGGGTCCGGGGGAAGACATTGAATGATTTTGACGTCGCTCCCCCCTCTTGATCGATTTTATGGAGCCCCATCCAGTTCAGACTCGCTGGCCGCCTCCAATGTCAGCATCTTCCAATCTATTCCTAACCCCACTGGGCCATGGCATTGCAGTCCCACTAGCCCACCCTCCTAACTAGGTGGGGGTAGTCTCTGCGAGACCCGAAGGACCAGGCGTATATGTTCCTGTGTCCAAGGTTTACAGCCCCCCCGCGCAGATGGCATGAGTCCAAGGGTTCTAAAGGCCCCCCCTATAGATGGGATGGGAGGAGACGACGACGGACTGACGACGACGACGACGGACGGCGACGACGACGACGACGACGACGGATGACGGACGACGGACGACGGACGACGGACGACGACGACGACGAACGACGGATGACGGACGACGGTGGACGCCGACGGCCACGGCCACGGCCACGCCGACGGCCACGGCCAGCCACAGACCACGGACCACGTGCCAAGGGCCACGGGCCAATGACCACGGACCACGGACCACGGACCACGGACCACGGACCACGTATCACGGACCACGTTCCACGGACCACGGACCGCAGACGACGGACGACGGACGACGGACGACGATGACGACGACGACGACGTCGGCGGACGACGACGACGACGACGACGACGTCGACGACGGACGACGACGACGACGACGACGACGACGACGACGACGACGACGACGACGACGACGACGTCGGACATTTCGGAAGGCGGCGAAGCACGGGCAGCACGCTCCGCACCCCGCCCAGCAGCACGCGCTCGCCGCGCGCCGCCGCTCTCGGCCGCCGTTCCAGGCAGCCGCGCGGCCGACCTGCCTCGGAGGCCAGCCGCCTCCTCCACCTCCCCTCACTACACCTCCCGCGCTCACCACGGCGCCTGCGGCCTCCTGCCTCCGGCCCCCTCCAGCCCGCCGCCCGCCTCCCTGGCCTCCCCTTCGGCAGGCCCCTGCCGGGCCTGCTCTTGCTCCTTCTGCTCGCGGCGCCCTGCGACCCCTGTGGCCTCCTCGGGGGCGGCCGCCGGCGCCTGCTGCCCTAGTGTCATGAGCTCGTCATCGTCGACCCCGTAGGACTTCACGACCGCGGCGAAGGGGGCGGAGAGGAAGCCTGGCCCCGTACTCCTGGGGCTTCTCCGCGGCTCCTTCTCCGCCTGCCTCCTCCTCGCCTCCTCGCCGTCCTCCTCAAACTCCTCGAGCTCCTGCGCCAGCGCCTCCCCGCCCCTGTAAGGAAGTCGCACCGAAGACGACGACAACGACGACGTTGACGACGACGACGACGATGACGAGGTCGACTACGAGGACGATGTCGTGGTCGACGGCGACGACGCCGCCGCCGACGACGACGACGACGAACCAGCTCGCACCCCACAGGGCGAGGGTGGGGGGGGGCACCGGCATCCACCCACCACGCCACGTCCAGCGGGGGCGTACCCTTTAGGATTGGGGGAGGCGGGGGGTGGGTCCCTGGATCGTATAGGATCATATATCCCCTTCCTGTCAGGCGATCGCAAACATGGATCAAGGGGGCGTGGATTCGTGACGGGTTCCGTTTCCAAGGGAGATCGCGGATTTGCCGGACGAGGCAGCACCGGCCGCATTTCGGGGAGGGCACCTCCCCAGATCCATGGATTTGGCGAGCGCGCGCCAAATCCATGGATCGCTAGTCCATGTTTGCGCGCCCCCGAACCTGGGTGGGTACATCGGCAAGTGGGGCCAAGGGCATGCCAGTGGGGATAGGGATAGGTTACACGATCAAACGATCCTCGCGAGGGAGACACCGTGCTGCTCATCGCCGGGGACCCCGAGGACTACGCCGCCGAGGTGGAGGAGTTGCTTGAGGCCAAATTCCAGGTCGTCTTCAGTGCCTGCTCACAGCGACCGTCGAAGGTCCTGAGGCTGCTCAGCCACCTCGAGAGCAAGGGCACGTTCGACAAGTTCGTGAACAGAGATTTCCCTGGGCTCTCGGGCGGGACGGACGGCACACACACAGACACACACACAAACACATACACACTGCATATGCATGTATGCATGATACTTCTATGAATGGTTGCATGTATGTAATTTCTGCATGTATGATTCGGCCCTCTTGAGGCTCTCTTGGGTTGTCTTGGGCTATCCTGGGGCCGTCGTGACCGTCTCGGGTGTCTCTTTGTGTTATCATGGGGCCGTCTTGGGTCGTCCAGGGGTCCTCTTACGCCGTCTGGGGTCCCTCCTGAGGGCCTTCAGAGCCAACTTGGAACCCTCTGGAGACCGTCCTGGGCTGTCCAGAGGCCGTCTTGAGCTGTCTGAAGGCCGTCTTGGAGACCGCTTGAGCTATCTTGAGGCTCCCTTGGGCCGTCGTGGGGCCATCTTGGAGGCCTCTTGAGCCGTCCTGAGCCGACGGAAGCTTGAAAAGGCGAGGGGAACCATTTCAAACAGAAAAGGGACATCGATGGTTCGGGCCTTGCTGGAGGCTGTGTTGGAGCACTCTTGGCCCGTCTTGGAGGCCTCCGACGCCGTCCTGAGGCCATCGTGGGCCATCTGGGAGCCATCTTCGGCCGTCTTGGAGGCATCTTGGCCTCTTGGCAGCTGTGGAGGTCCGTCTTGGAAGCCATCTTCAGCATCTCGGACGCCTTGGAGCGCCAGGAACGTGTTTGGGCACCGACAGAGCCTCCAGAAGCGGGGGCGATGCACGCACCTCTACGCGACCCGGGAGGGGGGGCCCTTAGAAGATTACAGAAATCCTGCCAGACAGCACTTGTCATTCTAGCACGCCTCAACGTGCCATGGGACACGGTGGCGGATTAGTATGTCGGTGTGTGTGTGTGTGTATGCGTGTGTGGCGGGGCCAGAACGACACATGGGGCCACCCCCCCGTACGCAGTTTCGCCCCAGGATTGCCCCTCATCGTTCCCAGGCGGCCCAGAGTCGCTCCAAGAGGAGCACAAGCCACCCCCAGACTCCACCAGGGGCCCCCCAGGGTCGGCTGGTGGTCCAAAAATGATGCCGAAGGCTCCGACAGGATACCCTGAGACCGCCTTCAGATAGCCCTCCGAGCGCCCCATGATCCAACAAACTCGGTATTTTCCCGACGGTTTTGTGACTTTGGCGTTCTCGCCTTCTCGGGCTCCCGGCGCCTCAAGACGGCCGACGAGGCCCCGGAGCTCACCCCAAGACGGCCCAGCAGGCCCATAAGAGGGCCCCAAGGTGGCCCAAGAGTGCCCCAATAGGGCACCAAAGAGGCGCCCAGGACGCCCCACTCATCCTGCGCAGGCGGCCCCGAGGCCGCTCCGAGAAGACCTCAGGGCGCCCCCGGACTCACGACGACCTCCCGGAAGTTGCCCTTCTGGAGCCTGGCCGGCATCGGTGCATGCGTCCTATTGGCCCAAAAGGGGCTCCAGCTGAAAGGGGTGGTGCAGTGGATTCGGGCACTTGTGTTGCAAGTGTATTGCGCCAGATAATTGTATTGCATTGTATCGCAACTACTGTGCTGCACGCGACAACCTAGCAATACATTTGCAGCGCCAGAATGTTTCGTACGCCCCAAATCTATGGCAATCCCACAGATCTATTGCACCAGATCTATTGCACCGCCCCCTTTTCGCTGGACCCCATTTTGGGTCAACCAAGATGTGCGCATCTCTCTCTCTCTCTCTCTTTCTCGTCAGGGGGATGGGGGAGGGCGACGCCGGCGTAGCTCAGGGCATAACAGCACCCCCGCAAAGTCTCTCGGGCAGGATGAGGGCAACCCCAGCTGCGATGCGCGAGAAGGTAGACGACGGGAAGGAACGAGCTGGGGGAGGGAGGTGGCGGTGGAGGAGGAGGAGGAGGAAGAGGAGGGAGGGAGTGAGGGAGGAGGAGAAGGAAGAGGAGGAGGAGGGAGGAGGAGGAGGAGGAGAGGAGGAGGAGGAGGAGGAGGAGGAGGAGGGGAGGAGGAGGAGGGGGAGGGGAGAGGGGGGGAGGGGGAGGGGGGGAGGGAGGGCGGAAGGGAGGGCGGAGGCGGGAGAGGATGCGGAGGCGGAGGCGGAGGCGGAGGCGGAGGCAGAGGCGGAGGCGGAGCAGGAGGAGAGGAGGAGGAGGAGGAGGAGGAGGAGGAGGAGGAGGAGAAGGAGGGAGGAGGAGGAGGATGAGGAGGAGGAGGAGAGGGGGGAGGAGGAGGAGGAGGAGGAGGAGAGGAGGAGGAATGTTTTCCCGCGAGCACAGCGTGGGGAGGAGGAAGGAGGAGGAGGAGGAGGAGGAGGAGGAGGAGGAGGAGGAGGGAGAGGGGAGGGGAGAGGAGGAGATGAGAGGAGGAGGACGGGCGATCTTCTCTCTCTCTCTCTCTCTCTCTCCCCCCCCTCTCCCCCCCCCCCGGGAGGTTCTCGGACTTCGACGCCGCCGCGCGCCGCAAGCGGGAGGAGAGGGCCCAGGCCGCGGAGCGCGCGCGGCTCGAGGCCGAGGGGGCCGAGAGGGAGAGGACCGACGGGCAGAGCCGCGGCACCTGCGCACCTGTAGACGACGACGAGGAGGACGACGACGACGACGAGGACGACGAAGACGACGAGGACGATGACGACGGTGATGACGAGGACGAGGACGACGACGAGGACGAGGACGAGGACGAGGACGAGGACGACGACGACGACGACGAGGGTGACGACCACGACGACGACGACGACGGCGACGACGAGGATGACGACGACGAGGACGACGCCGGCGGCGACGACGAGTACCGAAGGGCAGAGCGCGGCACCTTTCAGCCCGTGGGCGCCAAGTGGGGCGCTCCAGAAAGGGCCTCGCCTGCGAGGGTCGAAGGAGCCGGTATCCCTTTCTCGGCGGGAGGCGGCGGAAGGTCGGCGGGGGTAAAACGGGGGCGCCTCCGCCGGCGGAAGCCGGCGGAGGGTCGGCGGGACGTGGCGGAAGTAAGGAATGCGCCGCCCCCCCCCAAGAGTTGACAAGAGTTTTGGGTTCAGGGTTTCCGGGATGTGCTAACTTTGATGTCGTGGTCCTATGCCTAGCGTGTAGTTGGGGATGCGCCAATGCACGCTAATTGCTCCGCGCTTAGCATGTACCCTGCGTGGTTTGTTCTCAACCTACATCGGAGGGCTGTTTCGCCCGACCCTACATCACGTGCACGTCCCTGCACTGCTTAGCGCGTCAACGGCTTCGGTTTTGCAGGGCCCGAAATCACACACACGCTAAGACTAGGACCATGACCGTAAGCCCGCGGGCGCCAAGTGGTCAGAGACAGTCAGATCGGCGTCACACCGACATACCAATACCACATGTGCGTCGCACCCCCCGGGGCCACGCGCGCACCGAGAAGTCTTTCTGGCTGTACCGCTCGGGGAACGACGTACGCCAGGATGGAGGAATGGCAGGACGCGGCACTTCTTGTGCCCTCGGGTCGGAGGAGGAAAAGGTACTGATGCTGCTACCCCTCCCTCGTTGTCCCCTTTCCGGGCCTCCCAGGAGGCCCTCGTCGCCACCGCTGGACTCGCCTCGAAATTCGGGTCAGAGCGCATCGGTTTCCCCACAAGTGGCCAAATCGGGGAGACGTAAGGCTCGAGTGCGCGGGAGCTCGGGTTTGCCGACGCTTTTTTGACGAGCGCGTCCCGGGTTTCGACGGTCCCGTTTCTTTCGGGATGTTTGCAGCGGGAGCTCGCGCCAAAAGTTCAGACTGTGCCTTGTCGTTTTCAGGATGTCCCCGTCAGACCGCCCCGAGTCCCCCGGACCCGAGTGTCGCAGGCCTAGAGGTTGACACCAACACCAAGATCGGCTGTGTGCCTCCACCGAGGGCAGACGATCCCGATCTCGGTGATGGTGGTAATAATTCAGACTTCCAAGGTGACCGAAATATTGCCACCAACACGGAAATCTAGGATCATCTTCCCCCTATGGAGGCAACCCCCTGGGCTGCTGTGGGTGCCAATTTCCAGGCCTCTCAGAGTGTTACGTCTCCCCGATCAAAGAGGGTCCGACGCCAGTCGGCAAGCGGCGAGGTGCACCGGGAGCGAATTGAGGCACGACGGCGGAGAGGAAGAGAGCGCGAGGGGGGGGGGACAAGGGAGGAGCTCGCTCAGACCATGGAAGGCCCGTGCGGGGATGCCGTAGTAGAACGCGGCGCAGGCATGCCAAGCGCTCGTTGAAAGTACAGTGGAGGCCCATGCCAAGAAACACGCTCTGCTTGCCTCCGGGGTGCCCTGGGCTTCTCGGGTCTCGATGGTTTTGGCTCGGAAGGCGTGACGTTCCCGTGCCAAGAACCAGCGGACGTCCTGGGGTCTCAGGACTGGGTCTCTGGTGGAAGGCTTTTTTGTGGATCGGCCCCCCACTGTAGCAGCACGCGGCGCGGGCATGCCCATCGCTCGCGGACAGTAAGCATCTCAGATCTCCGACGATGTGCGTGCTGGAGCCGGCCGGGCGTTCTGAGGTGCCCCAGCACTGGTGCCGGCCAGCAGGAGGGGATGGCCCCGTCGCCCGCCCGGTCTGCTCTCTCCCGGGCCGCCGTCACCGAGGGGGGTTGTGTCAGGAAGGGGTGTCCGCCTACCAGGGAAGGCATTTCCGATCCCACATTCCCAGGCACACGCACTACGATGTACACATGCGCACACATATATATACACATATATATATATATGTATATACATTTATATATATAATAATAATAATATCACTATATTATTATATATTGATATATATATATATATGTAGTTAGATGTGTATATATATATATATATATATAGCTGTATAGGTATGCACATATAGCTGTGTATGATATGTAGATCTGTTCCTGTATGTGAGTGCCTTCCCGTTTCGAGGGCCGAGCGGCTTTCCCTTGCCCTACCCATTCAGGGTGCGGACTGAGACCTGGTCTCCAGTCAGGACGCTGAAGTAAGGACCGCTTTGGTTTCGGAAGGGGCTCGCTGTTCCTTAGGTCATTCTGTGGCTGTTCTTTTAGCCCTCCTCGTGCACCCAGGCTCTTCTTGTGCCAAAAAGGGGTCAGCAGGCTGACTGCATTTTCGACGCCTTCCTACTTCATGTTTCTATCCGCTCCGTCCGAACGATGGGTGAACATACACTTTCGGAGGTCTGCGCGGAGCTTCGAAAGTCTATATTTGTGCAAGTTTGTGCTTCCCGAAGGAGGCTGGCGGAGGAGAACGCGGAGAAGCTGGCGGCGGAGCAGCGCGAGAAGGATCGAGCTCACCAGCGGCCTACATGAGCGACTGAAGAACGCAGGGTCGACTGCGCGCAAATTCGCGCGTAAGTTGCCCGCGTAAGGTCGCGTGTCAGCGCCCTCGTTTCCAATTCTCGGCGGCGAGCCTGGGGGGGAAGTGAGAGGGGGCAGGCCTTCTCAAAAGGCGGCGGGGCTTCTCAGAAACACTCGAGTCTTCTGCGTTTTTTGATGTCTTCGGAGAAGGCTCAGAAGACTTCTCTGAAGGCCAGAGGGCCTCTCAGAAGCCCCGCCGTCTTCCGAGAAGGCCTGCCCCCCTCGCTTCCCCCCTGGGCTCGCCGCCGAAATTCAGCGCGTCGCGCTGGCGGCCCGCGTAAGCCACCGCGTAAGGTCGCCATATCACTGCGTAAGATCCGCTTCTCGTCGTCGCGCGCAAAGGTCCCGAGTCGCCCTGGATTCTGAGGGGGTGCCCTTACCCTGACCTCCTGCTCCTCCTCCTCCTCCTCCTCCCCCCCCTCCTCCCTCCTCCCTCCTCCTTCCTCCTCCTCCTCCTCCTCCTCCTCCTCCCCTACCTCCTCCTCCCTCCTCCTCTCCTCCCTCCTCCTCCTCCCTCCTCCTCCTCTCCTCCTCCTCCTCCTCTCCTCCTCCTCCTTCCTCTCCTCCTCCCCTCCTCCTCCTCCTCCCCCCTCTCCTCTCCCTCCTCCCCCTCCTCCCCCTCCTCCTCCTCCTCCTCCTCCTCCCCGTCCTCCTCCCCCTCCCCCTCCCCCTCCTCCTCGCACCCTCCTCTGCACGAGGGAGAGAGACGAGAGGGAAGAGGGCCTCGGGCAGTTTTTGTCGCCGTCCTGGCCTGCGGGGCGGCCCTTGGCGGGTGGACGTCCAAGGGCACGACCCGGGAGGAGACGAGCGGGCCCCTTGGGAAGGGTCCCACACAGTCGGGGCGCTGAAGAAGGAACCCTTTTCGTTGGGGAGGGGCTCGGTGTTCCTTGACTGTTTCACAGTTTGCCTCGGGTTTCCCTGAGGTTTTCCATGGGAAATCGATGTTGAACTTATGGGAGAGGGGAGAAAACACACAGACACACTTCATCGTCGATTTCCCCCCAAACAGGGGAACATATGGGACGTGGGGGGGAAGACAAAAACACCCAGAACATATGGGAGACTATGGGGGATCTTTTGATTTGTGTGTATCTATGTGTGTGTGTGTGTGTGTGTCCTGGGGCCCATTCAAAGGGGCCCACACCTCTGGAGAGCCGCGCTGTGACACACATCCCAACGTGCCGGACGTCTGGGTCCGATCTCCGTGCCTTGGGTCCTCCACGCTGGAGTTCGGCTCGTGTCTGGGAGTGCCTCCACGGGGCCTGGGGCCTCTCCTCCTCCTCCTCCTCCTCCTCCTCCTCCTCCTCCTCCTCCTCCTCCTCCTCCTGGTTAGAAACGGGCTTTTGTCTCCGATCCACGTTCCACTTTCCCTCTGTGTCCCATGATGGGTCCATTTCCGGGCCGGGTTGGGCCGGCTCGGCGGCGGGATGGTTCGGTTATAGCAGTTCTGTTTTGGCGCGGGTCGGATCTTGTCCGGGATGAGGGAGTTCGGGCCAGCTCGGTCTTTTCTCAGAACGGATCCTGAGAAGACTTCCCCGGAGGCGGGACAATGCAGGGCTGGACCTAAACGCTGTTTTGCTGGACTTCGGCTGTGTTTTGTCTCTCCTTTTGGCAAGTAGGTACAGGAAAACGGAAAAAGCAAGACGAACACAACACGAGCAACAACGTTTAGGTCCAGCCCTGGGGCACTGACATCTTGGCGTCGTGAGGCAATGGCGACGACTGCTGTCTGTAGATCTTGAGCTTCCGGGGCCCCTCGCTGGGCCCTGCGGGACCTCGTCGACTTAAGTCGGACCCGTCCCTCTACTGGAGGAATGTTCCCAAATAGTGTACATGGTCTGGGGACTATGTTTTCGACCATCTTTGACTATTCTTGAGTACTCTTGACTACTCACATTCTTCCGCCTAATAGCCGCCCGTAGGGGGACATGCCCGGCCGAAGCCCAGACCCCCTGGTAGGGGGCCACACGCGAACCCTACCCCTACCCCCCACGATTTCTGAGGGGGAGGGTGGGGTTCAGGGAGCCACGCTGCGACAAGAGCGCGAGGCCGCCTGCCCGCGGGGGGGCATCTCTCAGACGGCGGGAGGGGGGAGGGGAGGGCTTCCAGGGTGCCCCTCCCTCGCTTTTTTAGGGCTCCATTTCTGGGAGGTTCCATTCCGCGTGGGCGCTGGTCTGACCTGGCACAACCTGGGCGACTCCAGCTAAATCCTGGGCTCAAGTTGTGCCAACCTGGCTCCTGGTGGCCCCTCAATCCGGCTCGCCAGCCCTTGCTGGTTCTCACAACGACCTCCCACTGTAGTTGCCTCCCGACCCTCGCTTCTTCGAAGGCCTCCCCCCTCCCCCCCCTCCGCCCCGCCGCCTTCCTGTCCGACGTCATGACCTCTCCGCAGCGTGGACCCCTGGAGGTCTCGACCCACTCCCTGGCACCCGCTCTGCCTCCCGAGCCGCTTTCTCGGACGGTCCCAGTGCCCGGCCAGGGCCTCCAGAGGCCGAGTCGGGCTCAAGAGATGGGGGTCAATGCAATTGGTGGTCAGCCAGATCGCCGGATCTTGCAGGATCCTGCGGCGCCAGGGGCGCATTGACCCGGGCTTGGGTGCAGGATCCTGTGCAGGATTGTGCAGGAGTTTGCAGGATCCTGCAAGGTGCCTGACTGACAAGGGTCTTGATTGACCAGGGTCAGCAGCTCCCTGGCAGAGAGCAGCCAGACTCCAGACATCCTCCGCCGTGCTGTTTGCAAGACGTGTGTGCGTGCGTGCGTGTGTGCGTGTGTGCGTGTTTGTTTGTTTGTTTGTTTGTTTGTTTGTGTGTGTGTGTGTAAGCAGTGGAGGAGGAGGAGGAGGAGGAGGAGGAGGAGGAGGAGGAGGAGGAGGAGGAGGAGGAGGAGGAGGAGGAGGAGGAGGGGGAGGGGGAGGGGAGGGGGAGGAGGAGGAGGAGGAGGAGGAGGAGGAGGAGGAGGAGGAGGAGGAGGAGGAATAACAGTAATACTAAGGACTATTAGTAATAATATCGTTAACCATAAGAATATGGATATTATGATTAATGATACTAATAATGAGAATGTTAAAACATGACGACGAAGAAGACGAATAACAATAATACTAATAAAAACAGTACTAGCAATACTACGCATACTACTAATAAACATACTATCAATACGAATGCTCATAATAATAATACTACGAATGCTAATAGTACTAAGAAGAATGATAAGACGGAAAATACGACTAATCATAAGACACATAATAATAATCATAATACTAATACGAAGAATAATAATAATAGGAGGAGGAGGAGGAAGAGGAGGAGGATGAGGAGGAGGAGGAGGCGGAGGAGGAGGAGGAGGGGGAGGGGGAGGGAGGAGGAGGAGGAGGAGGAGGAGGAGGAGGAGGAGGAGGAGGAGGAGGAATAACAGTAATAATACGGAATATTAGTAATACTATCGATAACCATAATAATATGGTTAACATGAACAATGATAGTATTGAGAATAATAAAAATATGAAGACGAAGACGAATATCAATAATACTACTAATTATGATAATAGTAATAACACTAAGAAGCATACTAATAAGCAACATACTAACAATACTAATATTAATAAGAAAAGTAAAGCGACTGCTAATAATGATATTAATGCTAATCGTAATAAGAATATTAATAAGAATAAGACTAATAATAATAATAATGCACATACTACTACTAATAATAATACTAATAGTAATATCAGTACTAATACTAATAGTAATATTACTATTAATAATAAGAAGAATAATACGAATAATAATACTAGTCATAAGAGACATGATAATAATCATGATAATAATAATACGAAGGATAAGAGTAATAGGAGCAGGAGGAGGAGGAGGAGGAGGAGGAGGAGGAGGAGGAGGAGGAGGAGGGGGAGGAGGAGGGAGGAGGAGGAAGAGAGGGGGGGGGGCTGTGCCCCGCCCCGCCGCCTCGCGCGCGCCGCCCGAGCGAGGAGGACCGGGACGCGGAGCGGCGCGAGGAGGAGCGCAGGGCCGCGGAGGCGGCCGCCGAGCGGCAGCGGGAGGAGGCCCTGAAGAGCATGTCCGAGCTGGAGAAGAGGAAGAGCGATCCAAAGCCTCGATCAGAGTATCGAGCGATCAGAGTATCGAGTGATCCAAAGTATCGATCAAAGTATCTAGCGATCAAAGTATCGAGCGATCCAAAGTATCGATCAAAGCATCGAGCGATCAAAGCATCGAGCGATCAAAGTATCGATGAAAGTCTCGAGCGGGGGGCAACGTCCCCAGCGGTCCAGAGTGTCGAGCAGAAGAATCCAGGCGGAGGTTTCTCGCCAGGTTTTCGGTCTCTGCAGGCCCTCGGCGGGCCTCGGGATCGTCCAAGAACGGCTCGGGACGGGTCCTGGGGAAAGGATCGGGACTTCCAGAGAACCCGTATTGAAAAAAAGAAGCGACGTCGGATCTCTGGGTTA